GGGGGGGGGGCGCCGCGGAGGGGGACGCGCCGGGGGTGGGGAAGGGAGGAGGCGGTGGGAGCTGCCCCCGTCCGGAGCGGGCAAGTGGCTGCTTGCAGACCGAAGACCGGGTCTCCCGTGTGCGGACGTGGGGACCGAGGCGCTTCAGCCCGACCTGTGGGACTTGAGCAAAGTACTGGCCAGACGGCCTCGGGGGGCTCGGGACGACTTTCAGGGCCGAGTGGGGAAGCCGTTGTCCCGCGCCTCGGAAACCTGCAGAAACTGGGCAGAGCCGCGGCTGGATCCCAGGGGGCGTGAGAGAGAGAGAGAGAGAGAGAGAGAGAGAGAGAGAGTGAGAGAGAGTGTGTGTGTGTGTGTGTTTGGAGAAGGAATCGAGTGGGGCTGAGCAGCCAGACCCCCCCCAACACACACACACACACACACACACACACGCACGCACGCACACTGTGGTCAGAATTTGCAGTCTTGGGAAAGCAGGATGGTAAACTTGATTAAATGATCTTATTTCTCTCACTTTGCCCCTAAGGATAGAGTTGGGAGCAGATGGGACCCAGGGGAAGTCTCTAACAACACGAGATACAGTGATGTTTGGGAGGGATCACAGAGAGCTGGATTCAAACCCCTGAGGAGAGCCAGACCTCAGCGGTGGAGTCCTTCGGCGGCAGAGGGGACCCGGTGGGGAAGCGGGGCATGGCTGGGGAAGGGAAGTGCAGCGACTGTGCTTTAACCAGCTGGTGCTGAGGAAGGAGCTAGCGGAATTCCAGCCGGTGTGGAGATGTGCTTCAGGGATGGGACTTCTCTAATGCTCCCAAGGACTCAGGTAATAATGGCCCCAGGGTAGTAGGCTTTTAATGGGCTCTCTACCATAATTTTGTTATTAAACTCTTGCACCCTTGGTTACAACTTAAAAGAACAGAATCCTTTTTGCTCACATCATCGAGTACTGAACACACCAAAGGAGTGGAGTAGAAAGTCTTTGGGGTGGGCTCTTTGGTGGAGCAGAATTCTGTGAGAAATCAAAGGCCAACAGTGACTGTTTTTGAGGAAGGGTAGTAAAAAGTCTGGCGGAGGAAGATGGCCTTAGGTCCTTTTATTGGGCCGGTTTGAAGCCTCCCTGGGTTGTGTAATCATTCACTTAACCGCTCTGTGCTAGCCATTAGGAACAAACACAGAAATATTCGAATAAGATATCTCTCTTCCTTCCAGAAACAACCATCCTAGTTGGGTAGTCAAAAAATTAAAACCAGGGGCGCCTGGCTGGCTCAGTTGCTAGAGCATGGGATTCTTGATCTCGGGGTTGTGAGTTCAAGCCCCACATTTAGTACAGAGATTACTTAAAAATAAAATCTTAAAAAAAAGAAAATTCAAACCAGTCCTAGGCTGGCCTGGCCATGAGCGCTGCATGCTAGAGGAGCCCAGAGCAGGGCCACCCAGCTCAGGGGAGGCCCACAGCCGAAGAGTGCTGGGACTGAGCGCTGAGAACCTCTTCACTGGGAAAACAAAGCAGGGAAGTTTGTTCCAGCCTGAGGAAACAGAAAGCTCAAAGTCGCCAAAAGGGAAGGAGGGAATGGTGAGTGTGGGGAGAATTCACAGGGTGCCCCCAGGGGGACTGAGGATCTCAGGGAAGCTGGAGTGATAGGTTCAGCGTGGTGTCCTAGAAAGCCTGCTCTGGTGGTTGGGTGGGGGCCTGGAAGATGTGATCAAGGCCACAAAGCGCCCAGGCCAGAGTTACTGACGCAGAGATGATTGGCAATGCTGAAGAAGGATGGAAGGATCCAAGAGATAAAGGGGTAGGACTTGGTGACAGGCTCCGGTGCAGGTAAGGTAACTTAGACCAAAACTAAGTGCCCAAAAGCTCAGCAGAAAACAAAGCAAAAGGAATGGATATTTTGAGTGGCCTGAGTTTAGCAGATTACAACACTTGGACAATGAATTTGGCTCTAAATTTTCTGGCAGCTTCGAGACAAACAAAAATACACTGAATTGCACAGTTTTGGATTTTGGACAACAGAAAGCTTACAAATTAATTTTCAGAACAAAATTTTTCCTGGAATTAACTCAACAGGGAATTTGTCATGAGGAACTTTGTGTAAAGACTAAAGAGTGACATAGGAAAAAAAAAATCTTCATTGTTGGTGTTACAAAAGATGGGAAGATAAAATTCCGCATGACTATCTTCCTATACCATCTTCCTGTTATGACTTGGGAACTCGCTTGCATTTCTGTGGGCTGCTGAGTGTCGCTCAGGCTTGTGGGCCGTGGCGGAGCAGGCAGCTGGGGCCAGGGGAATTCTGTGCGGAGGAGCCCATTTTCTCAAGTGGAGGAAGAGGTGACACGAGCTCTGATGGATGTAGAGAGCAAAGCACGCCGGGTGCCCACCATGATAGGAAGGAAGCAAGTCACAGAACGGTCCACAGCCGGCTGGGCTGAGACTCTGGTCTGGTGAAGGGTCTGCTAAGGCAGCGTGCATCTGGAAATCCTGACCAAAGGAAAATGGGGAGTGAGAGCAGCATTTGAGGATTCCGCTCCGATAGGCAAAGCACTTCCCCCACTGTGGTCCAAGTCTTTTCTGCCCTCAGACCTGATGGTAAGCCTGCTTCTCGGCAGCAGGGAAAGGGTGGGACTCAGGAGACCAGAGATTCACTCCAGAGTGCGAGTGCGGCCAGGGAGGGTGGGAATCTTGTTTGCTGCAACTCAAGGAATGTCGCAGAAGAGCAGGGAGAGTGAGCCGAGAGAGCCAAGCCAGGACGTTCTGCAGTCTCAGGCACCAATCTCCTGGCCGGGGCCCTTCCCTTTGCTTTCTGCAGAAGGGACAGAACCTGCAGAATCCACGTCAATGCATGGCTTCTGTTGAACCCATTTCTTGCTCATTTTAGATGTCTTAAATTAGCATTGAGTAGGTATGAGATTCTACTCCCCAACCCCCATCACGTTTCTTAACATTTTTAACTCAGGGTGCACATTAGAACACTTAAATGTCCTGGGCGAGCATTTTTTTAAACAACGGATGCCTGCACCCCACCCTAGATGGATTAAATAAAAATCTCTGAGAATGGGCTCTGGGCATCAGGATTTTTGAAAGGTCACAGGTGATTTTAAGGTACAGCCAGAGGTGAGAGTGGCTGCTTTAACAGTCACATAACGGGTTCCTCCCAGCAGGGGACAGAAACCTCAGATTCCAAAAGCAAGGACCCCATAAAATTTAAAATTAGAAGCCCGTTAGTCATTATGAAATAATGGCTGATCAGCCTTCAACATCAGGGGTTAAAGTCAGCTTGAGAAGGCTAGCGGCAGACACGTTCGTGGGAAGCTTCGTGTGTATGTGAAGTATTTTTTTTTAAAATAGGAATTTTAAAAGCATAATCACAAGACTTCTGTAGTTAGATCTGTCTAGTGCAATTGTATGCAGTGCTGAACCTTAGCCTGAACTGAAAAGCTTTGGCACCTCTCTCTTTTTGCCTGGAACCCACTTAAGTCTACTTTTCTTGAGTGCCGAGCCTCTGAGTTCTGGGTTCTTTCTACTTGTCTCCTGATATTCAAGTATATTTGTTTTCTGACCCATGTCTTCTGGATTGGAAAAAAAGCTGGGAGGGGGTGCCTGGGTGGCTCTGATGGTTAGGCGTCTGCCTTCGGCTCAGTTCATGATCCCAGGGGCCTGGGATCAAGCCTCACATCAGGCTCCTAGCTCAGCGGGGAGCCTGCTTCTCCCTCTCCCTCTGCCTCTCTCCCTGCTCATGCTCTCTCTCTCTCTCTCTCTGTATCTCTGTGTCTCACGTGAATAAATAAAATCTTTAAAAAAAAAGTTCTAAAAAAAAAAAAAGCTGGGAGAATTAGTTTGCAATTGAACATCCATAAGGTCTCAATCAAAAGGAAGAATCTATAAGGGTTGAATTCTGCATCTCTGACAGGATGATAGGGGGAAATTTTGAGGCTCAATGACTTTCCCAAAAACACTCAAATACACCTTGCAGGCATTCATTTCTTTGGCTGTGGGCAAAGTTGACTCAGCTTCCTTTACTCTCTCTGGAACCCCAGCCCCTTCTTTTTTGCTTCCTGAGGGCCCGTGGAATGTCTCACATGTACTCATGAGTGACCAAGTTTATGTCATGCCCAGTCTCCTGTGTCCAGGCGTGGACCCTTCTTCCTCCACAGAGCCAGATGGCCTCCATAGGTACCCCAGGCTCTCTTCATTTATTTTTTTTTTAAGATTTTATTTATTTGTCAGAGAGAGAGAGCACAAGCAGGGGGAGGGTCAGAGGGAGAAACAGGCTTCCCGCTGAGCGGAGAGCCTGATGTAGGGCTCGATCCCAGGACCCTGGGAAAGTGACCTGAGCTGAAGGCCCAAGCTTAACCAGCTGAGCCAGCCAGGCGTCCCACCCCATGCTCTCTTTAACCCGCCCACACTGGCTACCAAACAGAAGGACTGACAGGCACATCTGCCCGTTTAGTTATAGAAGGCAAGTCAGTGCCTGGAACTGAGGCGAGTGATTACTCAGTTTTCTAGATTTGATGTCCAAAGACAGAATATGTTGGGAAGCCAGAGTCAGACCATCTTTCACGCTCGTGTTAAGATCATTGTCTGAGCTGAGCAAAAATGTATCCTGTCGACTCTCAGCTTGCCTAGAAGTTAAGCCTTTTGCCATCTGCAGCCCAGAAGGGCTTTGTCTTTGGCTTCCCTTTGACACATCCATCCTTGGCCTACAGTCGACTGGAAGAGAGGTGAGCCCCAAACCCCCCTTTTCTAACAGGCTGAACTGCCAAAAACTGTTATCTTTTTCCCCCTGGCCTTAGGGAAGGAAGGGATGAGTCACCTTCGTGGCAAGCTAAGGGAAGAGGTTAGCTTCCCTCAGTAATGGGGAACAAGAGGTTCCATGCTCCCCTTCAGAAGGAAATGAGAGCAGGATCGAGCTAGAGAGTGGGGTCAGGACAGGAAGTTGTGACCGTGACCATCCTTCCATGGTACCCAGGGCTGCGTGTCTTATCAGCAGGGCTTGTCAGACCAGTTCAAACACAGTATCAAATGCATTTCCTTTGGTGGTTTTGTTTTCTTAAAAAGTGTACTTTAAAATTGTAAGATTGCTTTTATATACATCGTTGTGTATATACATATATCTTTCTGTGTAAACTGTGAAAGTTCTGCTTGTTGGAAAACATTTAAGCAATACGTAAAAAAAAAAATAAAACAAAAAAATGAAAGTTTACCCCATACCATGTCCCTCCTTGGAGGCAATCACTGGTATATATCCCAAACCCTCCTAGATTTTTCTTTCCTTTGCATGTAATATGTTTGCTTGCAGAAATGGATGCATGCTGTCACCATTGAACAGTGGTTTGTGAGAATAATTCCATAGGAAACATACATAGTCCCATCCTTCCTCCCCCAACCCCCAGCCACCTAGGGTTCCTTCTGTGTGGATCGCCTTCATTTGTTTAACACATTACCCATTTATGAGCCCTCGGCTTTCCTGAGTTTAGCCACTCTCTGGCACTTGTTCCAATATATCTGTAAGATAAATTCCTAGAAGTGTAATTGCTAGATTAAAATAGATTTCAAAGCAAAATGCATATTGAATATCTTTGGGCCCAGTGATGGACATTTCAAAAATGAGATTCCCATGCTCAGTCTTAAAAAAAAAAAATTGTAAAATATATTCTCTCCCTCTCCCTTAACCCAAGTGTTCCCACCCTAGTTCCCCCACTGAATTTACTATGAGTTTCTATTTAAGTTAATCCAAAAATTAAAATTCACGGTGTGGTACATTCATAAAGGGAATCTACTATTTTAAGTTTTATTAAATTAAAATAGGCAACATATTAAAATTATAATTTCTAAGAGGTTTTTTTTTTATGTTTTATAGGTTGTTGTCCAACAAACTGACTTAATTTTGCCTCTGGCAGCTGGTTTCGTGTTCCTGTAACCTTGATCCCACATAACCACCATTCCACATATTGTGTAGGCGGAAACGTGGGTTGGGTGGGGTGGGTTACACACAAGAGTCAACCCAGTGCAGTAATCCACAGTGCCTCCCCTTTCTCCCTCATACTTCCTCACTTCTCAGAAAGAAAGATGTCATAGGGTTGCATTTGACTTAGCACCAAGTTCTCTGCAAATCCACTGTGGGTCATGGATAGGGCAACCATATATACAGACTGGGACACTTGGAAAGTAAAAAGGGAGCCCTTAAGATAAGTTGTTAATTGGTCTACAACAGGCTTACCCTGGGGCTGTCCTTGGAAACTGCATCTTGTCACTGCCCCGGGAAAGGGTGAGAGTTGGCTGTGTCCCTCCCTTCTCCCTCCTGGTCCCAGTGCATTGACATAAACAGACATGAGTCTGTACCATCCTTCTGCCCGGCCCCCCCCAGCCTTGTTTAGCCCCCCTAAAGTAGAGCCCAAAGCCAGGGAAGGAGGAGGGGTCAGGTGCTACATGTGAACTTCTCCTTCCCACTAAAACAGTCAGAGGTGCTACATGTGAACTTCTCCTTCCCACTAAAAGAGTCAGAGGAGGGGTGCCTGGGTGGCTCAGTCAGTTAAGTGTCTGCCTTCTGCTCAGTCATGATCTCAGGGTCCTGGGCTCGAGCCGCACATCGGGCTCTCTGCTTAGTGGCGAGTCTGCTTCTCCCTCTTCCTCTCCTTCTGTGATCTCTCTCGCTCTCAGTCTCTCTCAAATAGATAAATAAAATTAAAAAAAAAAAAAGGTCAGAGGAGATGGATACCACTGTCCCTGCCAACCCACAGCTCACCCCGAGAAAAATAATAACTGACTGCCTTTTTTCAGTAAATGAGAACCATTGAAGCAGGACACTTCTATAATTTATGTGCTTTTCACATCTCTGGGAAATACAGGCTCAACCACCCCAGATGAGCGGCAAAGGCATTTGTACGGGATCGTGCAGCAAATCAGCATTAAAACTGCCCGTTGCATGGTCAGGGGAGAAGTTAGCCGAGGGAGAAGTCATAGAGAGAGGACTGATTTGATCACTGGGCAGGGGCGATGGGACAGCCTGAGATTCAGAACTTGCATCCCCTGTAGATGGAGTGGGCCAGTTTCTCAGCACAGACTTGGTCAGGTGTGGTGACTGGGAAGACACAGAGGAGCTTCTCGAAGCAGCTTGCGGGTTGCTCCGGGCTTCTCTGCCAGAAAATGTCTCCAGCTCTCTGGGGGCTCAGAGGGGTTCTCTACTTAATACTCTGAGTTGCAGGTGAGAGGGGTTCGGATTTGGAATGAAGTGTGTGGTCATCCAACCCCAAGTAAGACTCCCCGGTATCTTGTGGCCACTGTCATCCTTTCCATCTGGTCCATGTCATCGTCTGTGTTGGTGACAGTCAACAAATATGCACAAGCTCCCAGGACATCAAAAAGGACCAGTGCTCTCTGTTTACCCTCCAGCTGAACCGATGAATCTAATGGGGTGAAAAAAATGTCAGAGGAGAGTGAGCTCCTTGATGCCTCCCAAAACCATGAGACTTGGAGGTCCCAGCGCTGCCGAGATGGGGCCAAGAAGGGTTCTCCTCTCCCCTGAACGCAGGACAGCCAAGATCCCTGGCCTGGGGCAGAGAGGAGAGAGCTGGGGAAAGGGTCAAAGA